GGGGGGGTTATGGAGTATCTCTGTCTTCCTGCTTGGAAGTTGTATCCCTCTAAGCTCTGTAGCAATTAAGCGCTTTGCTGTTGCACGCAGAAGATCAGAGTCCGATTTCCAAGTGTGTGTGTTGGGGAATTTTCATCGAGTATCTCGGTCTTTCTGTTGGAATGTTGTATCTCTCTCAACCCTGACAGGGTCTCGCCTCTAAAATTATAATCTAAACTGTATCGATTCGAGTGTAAAACATCTTCATTTTAAAAACATATCATATTTTTGTGTCCCTGTGGACACGGACGGGTCATGAAAAAGACATCGCTTCAGTCTAAAATGCGCCTGTGACAGCTCCGACGACAAGAGCCCTTACGGGGGCTCGCGTGGTCTAGACTAGAGGTACAGTGTGCGCTTCCCATTCAATACGTTCCGGGTTCGAAACCTGACAGTGAGGGAACATTGTCCTCTTTAACATTTTTCTTTTATCTCCATTCCTGGTCTCTGACCATGTTCTGTCGTCTGCTTTCACCTCAACCTTCTGCCCCCTTTGCCCCTTGCTCTGGGCTCTTGACTCCTCGGTTGCATTTTAATTTCTATTCCTTGGCTCCTTCTTACTGCTGTCTTTCAGCCACACTCCTAATCTTAGGGTGGGTAATATCTAACACGTAGCCTTTACGGATAATGGCGAAGAATCTCGGAGGTCCCGAGTGCAAGTTGCACATGTTAAAGATCCAATGGTGGTCCAAAAGCGGTAAGAGTAGGCTTCAGCCGCCATCCGGACAAAATGTTGAATTAATTCCTACCAAATTGAAATGGTTAAATATGTCCCGCGCGTTCATATTATGACTGCATACAGTTACGAATACGAGGGCCGTAAAAAACACTTACCGAAACAGACAAACAAAAGTTACCATATTATACTCACCTCACTTCCTCTGCATTGTTGTAGTTGTGGATATTACCGTCGGATGAGTGGCAGTTGGAGCCGTCGTTGAAGTCACTGCTTCCATAAGGCACTGCAGGGAAGTTCAATGTATTGGCATCGTAGTGGGAACCTCCCGTACCGGAGCCGGTACCACCACCTCCACACATGTGGTTGATGACCACATCCACGTAGATCCTAGGAAAGGGGAAGGGGTGGGGAGAGGAGGGGAGAAGGGGTGGGGCAGAGGTAGAGAATAGTAAACGTGAGAGAGAGA